ACCAGTGGCAAGATCTCAGTATTTTGAACTTTTGGCAGGATAGAAACACATAGCAATTATTTCTGTAACAGAAACATTTTTAACAGACAATAGATCTTTTTTCATTTATGAAGCAAAAAACCACCCAGTATAATACACCAGAAAAGACCATATTTTTTTCTTTTAGTCACACTATTGCAAATTTAACCTTCTCCAGGCCATGATTTGTATTTCTGGGAGTCCACTGAAAGCTCATCACAATTATCTGTCCCCTAGCTCCTGTCTGAGAGGGTTTGATAATCGCGGTTAATCACACTGAGAACAATTAACACCGTGCAGCCGGAGACTTTGCAATGGAAGTGAGCCTACAATTGGCTGAGAACTCATAATCTTTCTTAATGTGTGAAAATTTTAACATGGTTGTTCTGCTGCAGATGGATTTTCACCACTTAGGAAACATCTCATGTCTGAGATGATCCCCAGTGGTTTTCTGAAGTCTCCAGAAACAACAGGCTCACACAAGTGCTGGTTTGCTCTTTGCAATCTCCAGCAGCTGCTGAGAGTGGCCAAGAGGAAACATTTTCACATTGGTGGGACATGAAATCCAAGAACCCCAAAATGACTCAACACAAGTCATTAGAGGAGAAACAACCCTCCAAAGTCCAGCCTGGGACCCCAATATCACTGGGGCCAGGCAGACCTACACCCCATCCCATGGTGAGGTTTGCTCTGCTTGGCAGGCTCACTCGTCCCTGGCATGAAATGGCACATTTCAGATGGACTCAGATCATTGTTTTATTACCAAATAATCATACAAATGTTGATTTGCTTTCACTGGCTGTTCTACCATCGGCAAATTGTCAGCTACTGTATTTCTGGATACTGTTGGCTGCAAGGTCTTCAGTGCTGTGTGGTTTCTTTTTCTTTCTTTCTTTCTTTTTTTTTTTTTTTTTCAACTAACTAAGTTGCTTTGCTAAAGCCCAAATGTTTCAAAGGAAGGTATTGATTTTAAAGTTTTCCTGAGAAGGTTTCTGGGGACTATGGTGATTTCTCTGACCAGTTTCAGAAAAAAAGAGACTCTGAATAAAATGTCTGACCTTCTCAAGTTGGAAAATGGATGCTTTGACAAAATCCTGCTACAAAAATATGAAAAGTGTGGAAGTGTGATTGCAAAATGGTATGGAAGCAAAAAAAGAAAAATCTACAAAAGATGTCACAAATTGAAATTGCCATTCTTCCACCATCTCCACTTCTGGAAGCTGTTATATGTGGACTAAAGAATGACATTATGAATCAAAAAGTAATTACAATAAAAATATCAAAGAATTCAGATCAAATAAGTTGTAAGTGCCCTCCAATAAGCTTAAATGAAATTCTCTTTTGACAATTACAGTTCAACAGTGCAGCAGGCATCTTATGCAATTCTATAATAATTTGCAATTTTGCAGTAGGTGGCTATCAAATAAATTGTTCTTCTCTAGATAAACTGACTTCAAATAGATTGTTACCAAAACACTTTTCTGTTTTGTTTCATGTTCAGTTATCAAGAACCCCAAAAGATCCATTCATTAGACTCAGTTAACAGACTCGTTCAACATTGAAAAGGAATCAGGAAACTATTCTGTAAAATGTGAGATCAGCTATGACTAATAACCTGAATAGAAATTCCGGATGGTATGTGTTCCAACATATATGAAACCTACTATATTACATGTCACAGCATTTTCAGAACAATGCCGGTTTGCGAACAAGCCTTGCTTTTTCAAAGGCACATTTAAAGACATTTTTATGTAACATATTTTACATTAGAAACGTTTATGAATTAGCAGCCACACATAGCTATAGTGCAATTTGCTATGCCACATTCTGTTTGTATGAAGTAAGATTTTAAATCTAACCAATGATGTATGGAGTAACTTTGTGGTATCCCGTCTTTGTGCTTTTGCTCTCAGGTAAATCTGACTGGGTTAGCGGGATTTTTTCTTATTTGGTTAAAACAGTATAGAAGTATCTTTTGCATAACTTCTGGAGAAAAGGAATTTGGATTGCAGTAGACTAGAGGATTTAGCTGTTCAGCACCATCCACAGTCTCAGTGGAGGAGTAGTCTGCATACCAGGGAAAGAAAATATTAATAGTTCAGGAAAGCCATGCCAAAGACAAATGTGTCTGCTATTTTTACAGTCACAGATGACCAGACTTTGAATAAGTTGAAATCATGTTTAGAAATCTGCTTCAATACTTCAAGCTCAGACAACTGAAGTAAAAATATTGTAATTAGCAGTAGGTTACAATAAATAAGCCTTTCATTAGAATAGATAAAGAAGTTGCAAGTCAGATCTTACATTGAAACGTCAAATGGCAGCTGACTTATCACTCAGCACTGAATTGAAAGCTGCTCATACCGCAAGAACAGAAATTTAGTTTCAACTTATTTCAATATAAATTGATCTTTAAGGCCCATTACATGAAGTAATGTCTAGTAATGTGGTTTTGAATGTGTCCAGAAAAGGCTATTACGGTTTTTGCAAATGACATTTTCACTTGATGAGGGAAAGTTTACATAATCCAATACGAGAGCTGTTCACAGCCCTGGTAAAATTAATGTACATAGTGTAATTTTCAAGTCAAAAGGTTTTGTAAATTTATATATTGTACAGGGACAATAGTGGAGGATTTGAGTAAGTTACTATTCTATCATCTGTAAATGAAAAGGCAAATCTGCATCCTCTGCACATGCCTCAGTTATAATCTACTGCAAAGACATACGTAGGTCTGACTGAAAAACAAAAGCTGTTTTCTGAGCAACCTTTTAAAGGGGCTTTTGTCTCTTCCCTATCACTCTCTCGTAGTTTTGGAAATTTCCTGGTTTTCAGATGAACTGCTAGAAAGTTTTGCATATCAAAATTGTTTACAACATAGAGTATCTTTCCCTGTTACAACCACATTAACTCCAGTTTGGCTGCATCCCAGAAACAGAGCAAGCCTTGCTTCCTGCACTGTTAATTAGCAGCAGCCTAATTTCTCAGCAGAGAAATTGTGTCCTGGTCAGCACTGGGACTCATCAGACCATTTTCTCACACCAAATATAGGCAAGCATGGAAGTCTAGAAGACAGCAGAGAAATGGCTGTCGTATACTATTGTTTTGAAAAGTTAGCAGAAAGCCCTTGTTTACATCACATAATTAACTGAGAAGAGCCCCTGGTGGCTATATCACACTGTTAGCAAATAGAAAGAGAAAAGGGAAGATAAATCTGCCCTCTGTGTGTTTGATATTGTGCAATTTAAAGATGAAGGCCAGTGGTAGAAGCAGTAATGCACTGCATAGGTCATGAGTAAGCTCTAAATTCAACATCTCTCTAATATTTTAAATTTTCAGCACATTAAAAATAAAAGGGAAAAAGAAGACAATCTCTTAGAGGACCCAGATCCAGCTAGATCTGGCTAGCAAGTAGGATACTTGGATCAAAACAGCCTAGCTCTTTGCCAGTACTCTGAGTGCTTGGCACTGTTCTCGGGGTGAGGGCACCCCATGTACCCTCCGCTCTGGCAGCAGCGGGAGCTGAAGGCGACAGCGCTCGCTGGAAACCAGCTGCCCATCAGAAAGGGTTTGTCTGCAACTCCTGCCTGCAACCCACCCCTGCCTGGCAGCCCAGGGCACCCAGCCCCAGCCTGTTGCTGGAATAGGATGTAGGTGGCAATCAGTCCCACGTTGCCTCGTGGCCAAGCGAAGTCAGAGCAACAGTGGCTGCTCGGGAGAAGAAGATTGTATTTTTGCAATGGTCACGTGTACGTCCCTATGCAAACACACACCACTGGGCTTTGTCTGGTGGTGGGGTGTGAGGCCCAGACTTCGGCAAGGTATCTCTGACAAGCCCAGATGTTATTTACTAAAAGTTTTCTCTCCTTTAACAACCTATATTTCTCATCTGAAGTCAGTGCCCAGTTAAGAGTCATTTCACCATTCACAATTGTTTGCGTCAGTCATTAATCTCCCATGTGGCAATTTGTCACATGCTTTTAGATCAGTAATTTTTAAGTACCCATTATGTGCCTGGTTCCTCTTACCCAGCGTAACCTGAAGGTCAGGGATCAAACAGCAGCACATCAGGAAAAGCAAGACTTGTGATACAGCCAAATTGATCTTCTGCCATATTTATGGAGCTGAATATTGTTTCAGGGATGTTGTCTATATTCAGTCAGTCACATAATAAATGGAAATCAGCTGCTGGGATGCTTCGAGCAGAAATCTCTGTCATGTGTAACTGAAACACTAGACATAAAGACTTCACTGGTACTACTTTCATTTGTTTGCTTCTCTATAAAAAAAATTAAATGGAAGATAGAACAGGGCAAGGAAGCAAATACGCGTTTACAAGATTTCAGACTGTACTGGAAAACAAGCAGAGAAGTATGAACAACTGATAACTTCTGCCGCTACAGCACAGCAACCCGCGGGCAATTAAATACAGGGAAATGCAAAGATGAAACCAAACAACCAGGCAGGAACCACACACCCAGCAGCAAAGTAATCTGCGGTACAGCAACATAAATTATGCTTAATGATAATAAAGGAAGACAGAAAGAAGGAGAAGGATGAGAGGTAGAATAACACATTCACCTCTTAGACTGCTTTAGTTAGAATTTGAATTGCTAAAACAGAGAGGGGAAATCATTCTCCGTCTCATTCATAACCACTCCAGTTTTGCTCATAAAGTATTTTAACTGCTATTAGAGTAATTGAATGAATGAAACCGTTTCCCAAATAGACCTGATGTATCGACGCAGGAAGTTAAACAGCAACAACTCGATTCCGCAGAGGCAGGGACCGGAGCCGCAGCCCGCGGAGCTGCCGCTGCCCGCCTCTGCCCGCGGGGCGCGCAGCGCGGCCCCCTACTGCCACCTGGCGGCACCGGCACCGCCACCCCCGGGACTGCCACCCCCCGGGACCGCCACCCCCCGGACTGCCCCCGCCGCTCCCGGGCTGCCTTCCTTCCCTGCCCGCTGTGAGACACCCCCGTCTCTGCCGGTGTGGGGCTGCACACGCAGCCGGGGAACCCCGCGGGGCCACCGCCGCCAGCCCCGGCTGCCTCCAGGGAGGTTCTCATTTCTAGGGTTTGCTTGGCCTGCATTTTTATTGCCCCATTCGAAAAACTGAAAAGCAGCAGGTATGAAAACAGGATCTCGGGGGTTTCTGCACTGCTTGTTTCTTATTTGGGTTTGTGGTTTGGGGTTTTTTTTTTTAATTTTTTGTTTAATTTTTTCCTTTCCAGTTAGAGTGCTGGGGGAGGGATGCCCTTGCAGATCGGCTCAGCTCTGGTGTGACCCTGGGAAAGGGTCTGTCAGCGCCGCTCCCCAAAGGCACAAGCCCATGTCCCACGCGTGGCAGCTTTGGCACTCAAAGGTAAGGGCTGTGGCATGGTCAGCCTCTGCTTCTGTCCCCCCACCTGCGAGCTGGGCTGCTGCCAGAACATGAGCTGGTTTGCTGGGGTCTTCGGGGATTTTTTGTAATTGAAAGTGCTGCATGTGCAACCATCAAAAATAATGGAAACCTTTGAAGTCACTGTGTAATATTATAGATATGAACTGAAGTCCAGAGAAATGCTTACAAGTTGCACTGACATTACTTTGTGCACTGGTTTTGGTCTGTTTACTGATGCTCTTTAATTTGTTGATGCCCTTTCCACAATGTGAGTCTGAACAGAGGAAATCTCCAAGCACCTCAGGGAAAAACTCTGAAGATGTTAGATTTTAAAAAGCTTTTTTTTTTAAACCTCCCTTCCTCCTTCCCTCTCCCACCTTACCAAAGGCTTTTTAGGAGTATATTAGCTTCATTAAAGAGTCAAAAGAAAATCCATCAGCACTTAAAGTGTTTTCTCTCTAGTGATTCTGAGACATTTATGGACTTGGAAGATGCACATTTAGGGCATCCCAAACAGTGATAAGAATGTATAGGGACCTTAAGACTCACTGCGCTTTTTAACTTTGTGAGTTAGGAAGATTTATAAATTAATTGGTTGAGGTCCTGCTAAAACACAGCAATTCATACTCCTCTCCAAATCATCTTCAGTTTTAGCAAATTTTGTAATTATGGTCACTAATATGGCACCTTCTGGGAGAGAAACGTCTTTAGTTCTGAGGATTATTGTGTCTCAGGCATGGCGGCCTCAAGCTACTGAAAAAGCAGACATGCACAAGACTGGTTAGTGCTCTCCAAGCAGCCTGTTAGATTTTGGCATTAAAGCATCTTAGCTTCAAAAGATTATCTTTTCTCTAAAGGTGGCTGTGCCACCTGCGAAGGGCATCTGTGATTAAACCAGTAAACACTCCTTGCCTGTGTGAGCTATGGGTAGGAGAGCAGAGCATGTGGGAGATTTATGGATACTTCTAATTTCCTGTGTGCCATTTGCCAGGAGCAAGTAGGGTTCAAGAGAAAATACCTTGGCCTTTGCCAGGCAAACACAGGATTGGGTCTGCCAATACTGAGCAGCTATTTCTAGACAACATAAGAAAGAGCTGTGCTCAGCTCTTTCACCTTGGTGAATCAATTGATTATACAAAGGTGTGATCTACTTTTATTTGACAAAGTGGTTCTAGGGAAAAAAAAATCAAAATAATGCAGATTTAACCCAGTGTTCACCAGGGAAATGACTAGTCTGTGTCTTGGAGAAGGCACTGATGACATCTGTTTTTCAGCTCTCTTCCACATTTGACAATTCGAATTTTTATTTGTTGATTCAAGTGTTTGCAGTTCAGCATCAAAAGGTCCAAACCTCCCTGTTTCTCATCCAGACTTGTTCATTTGCAAAAGAGTAGACCTACAGAGTTTCTTGAATGTGGGCAGAAGCTTCCTATGCCTCATCCCTACAGCAGTTAGGCTGCATGGTATCAAGCAGGGCCAGTACCTGAGCAGAAATACATTTGCTCACACTGGGGAGAAGCGGCAGCTGGAGCCTGAAACCAAGGCAGGAGCCTCTGCCAGCAGCTCTGGCCTTTCCCACCACCTTTGGCAGATAAACCCAGGCAGCGTGTGTTGGCCTGATTGAAACAACCACAAATATGTGTTCACAACAACTGCAACACAACATCTAGGGCACGTCCCCATTGCTGGGTGCAGTTGTCTGACTGCAAACACGCTTCTGGTTAGAAGCCATTCCAGTCAGAAGCTTTTGTGTGACTATGCCAATGCTGAAAAAAAAATCAAGCCGTGACTTATTAGTGTCAACAGAACAGCACAAAAATGTGTCATAATAGCTTCAAGGACCAGGGCTGCCTTCTAACTGGTTGCCCAGGAGCACTGGCATGAGGTGGGGTACCCCTGGTTCATGTTGGGTACCACTGTCTTCTCCACATCACCATCAACAACCATTTGGAGGATTCATTCAGCCTGAAAGCTGACTGTTGGCTCATTCCTGCTCCCTAACAGCTGAATCACGTGGGATTGTCGTCTACCCAGCACACACACAGACGTGTAACAACACCTAAGCCAGACGTCACTTGCTCAGAACTTAGATAGGAACCAGAAGGCACAAAAGCACATCAACAGTAATGTCTACCCAAGCTAATACCTGGAGTTAAGAAACTGGGAGTGCTGGGCCAGGCAGAGCTCTGGACTTGCTCAGAGCTGACTCGGAGAACTTCAGAAGAGCACTGCCTTACACTGCAAAGACTTGCTCCATTTTTACTGAAGTTTAATCTTTTGCAGGTCACAATGCAAATTTCCTGATTTTAGCCAAGTGATCAGAGTTTAAACTACTGCTCCATGAGCTACAATTTTTTTTTTAATAACTTAAGCCATTTCCCCATGTTAAAACCTATTTGCCCTGATTTCATACAGTGGCTACATCTACTAGGCAATGCTGAAAACAGAAGAACACGAGAAAGTAGAGACAGAGAGGCCTAATCCCTCATTTTGCTATCACAGTTCATATTTTCAGTTCCTTAATTTCAGAGCTGAGGTTGCAACTCAATTATTAAGCATGTTAAATGAACTCCATATTAAGTGCATGGCATACAGCTGGGAACGTGAGGTTTTGGTTAAGGGGACAACACTAATGCATTTTCCTGCTTTGCACTCGCGTAATTGCAGCCAGTGATATTTACAGTACTTAGGTAAATAATCTGACACGCTTCACCACTTTCTCTTTAAGAAGTACTCAGCTATGCTGAAGCATAAATTTATTATCTCCCATTCACATAAAGTCTGTCATCTAAGCAAATCCTATAATGGTTGAGAGATTTTACTAGGAGCACAGATTTCTTGACATTCATGCCGTGTATGAGCAACTTTATGCAGACACTTATTAGGCTGCATTAACAGCACAAAGAGGACTTTGCAGGCGAGAAGAAACACAAGTTAAATGACAGGAATCATCTTGATAGAGGGGGCAGACTGCCATTGCCTGAAGTGGTTTTGATGTGGTTAACCCATGGTAAGAATATTCATTTTAAAAGTACTGTGAGGACTTGAATGATAACAAGGGATTTTAATCACTTATGGTCACTGAAAGACAAATTCTCCACTTGCACCACATGCACCACTTGCACCCCTCTCAGAGCCCCCAGCAGGGCACAGCGTGGCTGAGTCAGGCAGCATCAGGAGAGCAGGCAGAGCTGCTTCCTTCAGCCCTCCGCACCCACAGAAGTTGATGGTCAACTATTGACCTCTGCAAAACCTGCTTATTTTACCATTTCTGGCAAAAATTGCTGCTTTAAGGAGCGCATCAAAACAAACCCTCAAATGACATTACCCTTGTGTCTGTTTAAAAATGGAAACAGGAATACACTCATAGTGTCATGCACCAGTGACAAGGGCCAAGGTCATTTCAGAGTGAGCTGCTCTGTACATAAACATAATTCTAATCTCAATTAACACTTACAGTTCATCTCTTAATGATTAAGGCACTAAAGTTTTAATGGAAAGACTAATGTCTCAAGGAGAATAAAACAGTATCATTAAGTTCTTTGCTGTGACAAGTTCCTGCAAGCTTACCAGGAGAGTTTTTTAATCTTCTACCTGCAGCAATAATCAGAGAGAAATTTCAATTTTTAACATGAGCTTTCACCTCACTGGAAATAAATTTCAAAGCAGCTTTGCAAGTCCCACTGTTTTTCCTCACTCCCTAAGTAGAGAGCTATTATTGATTTAACTAATTTCTTAGGAAGGTAGGTCAAGTTTCAGGTTAAACTGCACTTTGTAAAGTGTAGTGTCATGCAAAAGGAGAGACAGAGAGGGATTAGCAACCTGCAATTCACTTCCTTACAGGTACATTTACTGTGTCAGCACTTGCTCACAGAAAGCCCATGTGGTTTGTGTGTAACAAAATCCTTTTTAGCCTTTTGTTGATCCAGGAAACAAAAATATCCGCTACAAGCACCCCATTCTTGTGGAATCACAGCCTCCTTGGGAGGCCTTCCCAAAGGCCTGACGTCCAGAGCTTTTACTGTACCATACAAACTGCACGTGCAAGAAGTGCTTGCCGGGGCCAGGGAAGAAGGTGGGAGCCGCTGGCTCTCGCTGCTGCAGCCTGGGGCCCGTGGCTCTGTGGGACCATTGCCCTCTCCAAAGGGAAAGGACAAGCACACTGTCCTTTGGTGTGTAAAACCTCTGAGCACACATCTGAGATCCTGCTCCATCCATCCTGTGTCCTCTGACACACGGCATCCTGTCTTGCTGCGTTTTACATGTGAAGAGTAAGATTTTATCCCCCTGCTCTTGAGGGAGGAGCTGAAGGCTCCAACTGCTGCCGTAGTGACCCATAACCCCACCACTCACCACTTCAGGGAAGGGAAGAGCTTTGGGGGCAAAGACTTCTTTTTCAACCTAAGTTTTTTCACAAAGTATATGAATGGGGTCTCATGACTGCAAAATGTTTAGGTCTTGTTAACTTTTATTACAGTACATTTACTACTTAAATCCTACAGGCAGTTACAGGAATTAATAAGAATCCTATGACCAATAGAATTATTGATGCAGTTAGCAGGTGATATAATACTTAATGCGATATTCAAAGTTACAGTAAAAAGCATAAAGGCTTCAGTGGGGTTGTCCCTGTGCCTAAATGCGAAATACTAAGACTGAGGAATGGTTTCTTCTATAGGTACTTCTGAGTGAGGCCTACAGGTAAAGCATGCTTTAAAACAGATTTTTATTCCCTGCCCCTTCTTCCTCCAAATACTTATATCTATTCTAGGACTAAGAACACACCCAACCAAGAGCATTCATTTATACTGCCGGGAGGATAAATTCCAGTGAAAAAGGAGCGTTTTGGCTGTGAAGAAGCTGGTTCTTCACAGAGCTGTGAGAAAGCTTTAGGAGAATGGCATCTCTTGGTTTTCAGGTCTGATCCTCAAAACAGCCTGGTCTGAAAAACAGGGATTTTGGAAGACATTCTTCTTCCTGGAAGTACTGTATTCTTTAAGTTTTCTTTCTCAGTTAACCCTAATCCAGCAATATTAAAAGATCATCTCTGCTTATCTTTCTTCTCCATGGCCCCTCTCACAAAGAGATAAAAAAAAAAAATGTGTCTGGAGAAGACAAGTTGCCCCTCTCACTTCTGGTTATCCTCCCAGAAGCCAAGATAATACTGGCATTAAGACAAATGATTTAAAATTCGGGTGGCGAAAGGGAAGCAGTAAGTTGGCAGCCACAGCCAAGCAGGGACTCTCTGAGAGCAAAGCAGGGGGGCAGCGGAGCTGGGTACCTTCACCCAGAGGCACAGCCACAACCACCACCTCCTTTTGGGCCAGACATAGCAAATACAGCATGGTTATATTTGACAGCTGGCAAAAACACGGTGGGGAGGAACATCTGAAGTCATGTTCCTTGTACTTGCTAGTCCCCGGTGTAGTGAGTTATAGGGAAATATTATCAAAATATTAAACTCTTTACTAAAAAAGGATGTTGAGTCAGACTCCAACCCATATTTGGAACTATTAAATTGCACTGATGTTATCTGCTGACACTTCATTCAGCAGAAAAACTTACTTAAGAAGTAACGCTGTAACAGAAATTGAGGTCAGGGTGGTAAGAGACTTGCAGTTGTGCAAGAGGAAAGTGTGGGTGCAGCACGGGGTGCCAGCTCCCCATGAATTAGTGGTGGTGACGGACACCACTATCACCACAAATAGCTCTGAATATAATGAAATCCATCTACCAGAGACAGTAACACCTGTAAAACCCAGCAAGGTGGAAACTGGGAGGCCCCACAAACTCCTCTGGCCACCTGCAGAAGGAACCTGGCAATATATTAATCACTGCAAAGTCAGATGCAGCCCACACACAGTTTCTTTTTATAACCAGTTATAATCCAGGTCGCCTACTTCTCCCTAACAATCTCAGCTTTCTTTTTTTCTCTCTTTTTTTTTTTTAAATTTTCCTGTTCCAGACTGAAATGTGCTGTAGTGCCACAGGTCCAGCTTGAAGCAGAGGCCGTGGCTCTCTGCCTTTTCTGCTACACGCACATGAGAGCTCCGTGAAGGCAAGGAGATGAGAGAACATCACTGATATAGCAACAAAGGACAACATCAGATCCAGTGGGAACAGGAAGTGATTGGAGGTAGAGTCTTTAAAAGGTTCTCTATAGGCTTGAGTTAGACATGCTGCATTTTTTAAGACTCCAGAGAGTTCACACTATGAACATTTTGAATTATACTCAGTTTAAGTGTCACAGTATCCTCTCAGCCTGAATCTGCAAATCCATGAATCTAGGATACACTCAGAATGAACTTTCTGAAGCATCCCAATTGCTTAGCTTTTAGAAATTGAAGACCTTAGATGCTTTAGGATGGTTTTGAGCTATTGTTTCACAGAGTATTCGATACAGCTGGGCAGGGAGACCAGATAACACAAGAGAACAGAGAGGAGGTACCCCAAAAATACATTCATGTATACAGAACTGCCCTAAAACCGCTGAAGTTTAAGAGAGGTCAGAGTCCAAATTTAGTATTCCAGCTTAGCTTAATGCTGTGCCACTGGGGGTAACAGCCACGGCTGTAATTGCTTTCCTCCACACTGCCTTTCTTTTGAAGGGAGGTGACTGATGCACCTTCCAGCCTGCAGCCCACTTCTGGCTTTGGGCTGGGACTCTCCAGACTGCTCCAGCACCATTGGCAAACCTTAGCGCCATAAAAGCTCAGCTCTTTGCCTCTGAAGTGCACCTGTCTGCAGCAGCAGCAACTGACTAAACTTTTTCAAAGTAGTATTGTATTTATTCATCGAGTCGGCCAAGCAGTCAAGTAACAAAAGGGTTAAGAATTGCAGAGGATTTCCTGATGTGATAAGAGGAGAATTTGAGCCTGATTTAAAGGTTTCTCCAAAAGGGATCGATTATAGTCTCAGGCCATGTGAGAAAATTCCCAGAAATAATTAATTAGTTGTATCCTGCAGTGCAACTCTCTAACCAAACCCCAGAGATACACACACAGTTTATAAAGAATGAGGAAATAAATCTCCCATGTTTCACAGTATCAGAGCAGCCTCACATTTGCTTGATCTGAATTCCTGGCACTTTGTGAAATGCACTTTGGAATCTCAGGCCCACAGTTTTTCCTGCAACCTACTCACACAGAAACTTCAACACAGGCTTTACTTTGAGCATTGGAGAATTCAGCACATGTTTGATGTTCATGTATTTCAGGGCTTCAATTGCCTTCTAGGCTACAAAGGTTTTCCTGAGCTAACATCTGGACTGCACGAACAAACAACAGGATTTTATTCACGCTAATTAAAATCAGACCTGCAAAGTAGTTTTCTGAACTGGGACCACTTTTTCATGGTCTGATGAGCCAAAGAGCACATGTTCAGGGCTTGTGCTGCTTTAGGTCCTATAGAGTTCGGAGTTTACAGATGTAAAGCTGCTGAAGAACTACTGCTAGAGATCAACATACATGAGAAGAAAGATAACATTACTGCACCGTTTCTTAGCTTTTATACATAAAAATAAAATAAAAGGTAACGACCCAAAGATCCTCAGATGCCTCTAATCACTCTCCAAACTCCTTTACTCCTGAAGAGAGATTTCCAGTAAATAGTCTGTTGTGACTGGTTTGTGTGTTGTTCAGCAGAGCTACACTGAGTCCCCCTCCTTGCCAGAGAGGACAGGATTGTGTCCCTGCTGTACAGACCATTGGTTGTGCTACGTGGTCACATAGAACAGACTCCCCACCACCTCGCACCTTCCCTTACTGCAAAGTACTAGATTAAGAAGTTGGTATTTCAGTGCTCTTAGTGGAAATTACATTGCAGTCTACCTTTTCACTATAAACCTGGTTATTATAATTATTACAACTTGTATATGCAGTCAGGTTCCTAGCAACCTTCTAATAAGAAAATAATCACAAAAAAGGATTGATTCATGCTGCTCCTAATTGAATAAAAAATGGTTATTTACTTCAAATACAATTATTTACCTTAGATCAATATTTCTTGTAATATCATATACCACTATTCTCAAATGAGAAGTTGAATGTTATCTTCAGTTATCAAAACAGTGGCCTAACAAAATCAAGTTCCTAAATAGATCAGGAATTGTGTACATGCTTATGGCAAAGACATAAGCAAGTAAGTCATAGCAATGTTTATGGTGATACAAGATTTCCATTTACAGAAGTATAATTTCCTTTGATGATTTTTACAGAATTATTTCCTAGCTTGCAAGTGATAAAAATCACATTTGAGAACTCTAAAACGTTTATTCTGTTTGCCATATGTGAACAGATAAGCTCACTGGAAGCTTACACGATTTCAATTCCCAGCTGTAGCACTATTGTATTATTAAAGAGTTGTTTGAGACCTTCTGTCTGCATTACATAATGCTACTTTTAAAAGAAAGAACATGATGAAGAGCCTTACATATCGTATTAAAGGATGTTAAAAACTGGGTGTGCAAATACTTTTAATTTTTATTGCAAGCATTCCAGTATTTTTGCATTGAAGTCAATAGCAAATGCTGAGTGGTATTTCATTAATTTCTCGATGTAATACAAGGTGAAAAACCAGACTCATTGAGGAAACCGAAACCTCATTACAATTAACATCCCTGACACTTCTGTGCTGGCCATCTTGCAATAAACCTACTACTGAACCTAAAACTGGCAGTGCCCAGTCTTTTCTGCAGAATGCTACAAGTCAATTTTCTACTTACAATACTCTGTCACTAATTTAATTCTTATCTCTGTTCACGTACAAGGATTATATGGATTATAACTGTGAGAAAAATGTAGTTTCAAACCTGTGGAAAGGGAGAGTGATAGCAGGAGTCTCAGTACTCCAGAGAATTAGGATAAAGTTTGGTATTTACTTCAAGGGAAGTGCTGGTATAATTATCTTTTATTTATTCAAATGGTTTCTCACATCTGCTGTTACAAGTCTGATTTTGAAACAAACACAAACTCAAGTGTTTCTTAATGTCAGAAGTAAAAGTAGAGCTGCTGAGAGGTTACTGCTCTTAGACCTTGCTGCAGCTTTCATGTCACTGTGAGTCTGGACAGGAATGGAGAAAAGATACAGGTTCCAGCGGTATCTCAGCAATAGTTAGAGAGAGGCTTGACCATCTCTGCAGATCCGATTTGCAACCACACTGGACTGCATTTGTGGTAAGGTGTGAGAAGATTTTTCGCTGTCTATTTACACAGGTTTTTTTCAAAACCTTCCAATAAATCCACAGGAAGGTTTTAGTTATTCCAGCTCATACGTGGACCAGCAGCCTGTGCCAGTGTCACATCCCACATCATGTAATGTGGGATCTTACATGTTCCTGTTTTCCTAGGAAAGGGTCAGTATATTTGGGAATGGGTTTGACAACTCTTAAATTCACTTGGATGTTATTTTTATATACTTTAGTAACTCATCCTCATTAGCCTTTCCGAGTCCTCCCAGCCCTGCTGTAGCTGCCTCTGTATTCCATTGCTAAACTTCCATACTACTTCTGGATTTCCAGACTCCTCAGCCCCCCTGTATTATCACACCAACGTTAAGCTCAGACTCCAGAGTTTTCTACATTCCCAGCTGGCTTCTAACCACCTCCCTCTGCCTGTGACCTCCTACAATCCCCTGCGAGCTGTGCTTGACTTCTTCCAGTGCTCTCACTGCCTCTGTCAAGGCTCACATTCACTCCTTGCAGCTCCCTCCCACTGCAGCAACCCAGCCTGATCCTAGGTAGCTCTTTGGATTATACCTCCATAAAAAAATAGAGTATTTATGTTCCACATACTTAATTGCTGACTAACTGCCCATAAAAGTTATTGATAAATATTTTAAAGCAATCTTTTTTCATATTGCATATTAACGCTATTGTACTTGCTTAATGCTAGAAAGAAGGATGTAGAAATACATCTGCATGAAAACGTACACAATACAAAGTGACATTGAATTGATAAAGGCAATAGGAGAGATAGTGAAGAGCAGTGTCTTAGATCGACAGATGAAGCTGGAAAAGAGAACAACCTTTCTGAGCTCACAAGGCCTCAATACATATTGAGTTTAACTTGATGAGGTTAATCCACCAAACACTCTGAAAGAAAAGGTCAAGAGAGAAGGTGGATGGGAAAACTGAGTAAAGAAATAACCGTGGATGTGTTTCTGCACTGTTTCTGTATGTGGACTATTTATGGAGCTATATGAAAGACTGCTGAATGCAAATGCATCATCCAATAGGATCTATTAAAAGAATTTCATTTTGAATTCCAGCTCCTAGTAAAATGGTCAGTGTTGCCTTTCCAAGCAGCCCTTGGATAGGCAAGTTTCCCAGGAATGCTGGCCTTTCCCAAGGCTGCCAGATGGGTTGAGAGGTCCACAACCATTGTGCTGCCCCCTGAGGAGGAGACACAGGTAGGCTGGAGGCAAAACAGCATCTGGCTCACATTGAAACCAGCCAGGCAGCTTTGTATGACATCCTTAGAGCACTTACTGCAGAGAAGGTGCTAAATGCTGTGATCCCAAAATCCCTTTAACAGTTATAGACCAACAAATAATGATACTTTACAGAGAAGTGTATATAATCAATCTGCTGAGAGGGCCTGGTCCAAAACCAGCTAGGGTCATCAGAAAGATACCCTTCTGACCACAGCTCAATTAAATTGCATCTCTCTGTCAAGCCAAATCAGGAAAGCAAAAAACCACCACCCACCGTGCTTTATATAGCTTTTTTCCTCCTGAGAATTAGAAGGGTGAAAATCACTCACTTCAGGGGCAGGACTAGGTTTAAGGGAGAATTGAGAGTGGCCGTTATAACTGGACAGAACTCAACACATGGCAAACACATTTCACCCAGGCACATCTACATAGAAAAGCATTGTGTGCATTTTCCTTTAATGAATTGGAAAGAGGGGTTAAAATGGAAATCACAATTATGCTTAACCTTTCCCCTTCTGATGAAGTGTACTTTAACCATTGTTTATTTTCCTATAAAAAGCTGTGACTGTGATGAGATCGGTGGGTGCAAGTTCAGATGGCTCTTTTCTCTTTTTAAATTATACCACCTTGACTATACCTAGGTGCTAATAATCCAGCTGCCCACATTTGCCTCTGATATGTTAATATCATGTATCCCAGTTGACA